GGAGAGCTCCACTACACCCTGCACATGGATGACTCAATCACACCAGGCTAGAACAGGGCAAGACACAAGCTTTTTCTCTCAGTAACCAAGATTAGACTGTGAATAAGAGGAATTAGCTAAAGGTCAAGCCAGCTAGAACAAGAATAATGAACACAGGCTTAAGGAACAGCTGTGCGCAATTTCTCAAAGTACAGCAAATTCTCTTTCTTTGACTCAGTAGCAGGGGGAGGCAGAGCAGTTCTGGCCAAGGGGCTGCAAGCCCCATCGTCCAGCAAGAGCTCGCCTTCTCTGCACACCAAGTCCCACACAAAGCGCACACAAAGCTGTAAGCATTGCCTTTGATCCCAGCTGACAGTCACAACCTCCCAGAGCAGTCTGTGTTGTCATTGCAAGAAGGTCCCTTGCTCCTCAGGTCAAGGTGATGCACCCTAGGTCTCTGGGCCCAGCAGACAAAGGCTTCTCCTCAGTGTCTTTGACCTTGTAATTAACACCTGGCCTGTCTGACCAGGAGGAGCTGGAACACACCGACCTTTGGAACCTTTGGAAAGTTCAATTAACTTCAAGGGCCTTTTCTGGGAGCGTTGGTTGAGGAAACAAAGAGCTTTGAGAAGTGCTGGAGCATTGTCATCAAATCGTTCTGAACATCACTATTTTTAGCACGGTGAGAAGGAGAGAAGGGAGCTGAAGAAGATAGGCTGGAGCCCCAGCACATGGGATGGTGGCAGCAGCAGGGCCTCTCTTAGCAGACACATGCCTCAGCCCCATGACCAGAGGAGGGAAGAGGCTATGGTGGTGGTGATAACACACTTTTTAATTTTATTTATTTATTTATTTTAAGAGATGAAGCTCCATTTTCATCACCCCACCCCCATGGTCAGAAAATGAGACCCACAGATAGAGCTGGAGATAATGGCAGGTTGCCATGGAAATGTGCATTTAGTCTCACTGTTTCCATGGCAACTGAAAGACATACCATTCTGTTCCTCTGAAGGATGCCAAAGGTAAATGAGCACTGATTAAAACAGGGGCACAAACTTGGGCTCTAATCAACCACAAAGACTAGGGCCATAAACTCTTATTGCTCAAGCAGGAAATATTAAGAGTTTTAGCAGCGATAGGAAGGCCAGAGGCAGGGAGCCCTGCACACAAACTGCTCCCTGCAGAGCCAGGAATCACAGTCCTGATGCATTGGCCCTGCTCAATGCCATGCCCAGCTTCAGCTGCCTCACTATGGTCTTTCTGTCTGTAGTGGGATGCTAAAACCACCCCAAATCCATGGTCTGCCACGCTGTTTCCTGGCTGGATATCTGCACAAATCAAAGCCAGTAAGAGTCTAATCCTGGAAGTCAAGCAGAGCAAGCACACTTCTCAGAATCCAGCAAGAGCCAAACCACACCATTAATCCTATGTGCCTAGCCCCTAATGGTGCTTGATTGAAAGACTCATTCTCTTCTAAAACAAAACAAAACAAAACCAAACCAAACCAAAAAACAACAGCAATAAGAAGATTACTCAAATGGAAGCTGTGTCTCCTTGAATTCCGGTTCTTCTTCCACACTGGCTGACATTCAAATCAAACAAGCCATTATGCAAAGTTATCCCTTTCTCTACTGCCAATCCATCAAGGAGTTCTGGCCTGTTCCAAAGGACAGTGGATGTCCTGAGATCCCCTGCTGGTATGCATGGGAGAACAGGCAGAGAAAGAGGCATCAGAATGCTGCGTATCCTATCACACACAGCTAATGAACCCAACTGCTGTGTTTGTGAATGGAAGCAGCATGCGGTGCAGTCCTCAAGCACATGATGTAACAACACATCCTGGGAATACAGAGAGCTTACCCTGAATTTAGAGAACTCCTCTGGCCAACCCCAACTAAGGGTGTGAATAGGGGGTTTATACCACTCCAGTTTATACCCCACACTGCCAGCGAATGTTCAGAATGCTTGCAAGGCTGAAGGCAGTTGTGATACAAAAGTAGTTGCCTTCATAGCCTGGGACACAGACAAGAGAAGACTTCTGCTTTCCTGTCACTGCCTCCTCCACCGTTGAGTGAATCCTCCCCCAAGCACTGGATTCAGGCAAGCCCTAAGAATGCAGGAAATTATACTACCGTGTGGGGGAAGCAGAAGCCCAATGGGGTGCCTCTGAGAGGGAACTGGCTCTTCTGCCCTAGCCATCTTCCTGACTCACCCAACAGGTCAGTACAGATGTAGAATATTACAAGGAAGACTTGAATTTAGTTAAATTTTACAGAAGAATATTTTAGGGTGTGATAAGCACGTTCTCTTAATACCTGCCTTTGGCTGATTGTCTAGGAGCCACCTAGCTCAAATGCTCTGTTTAGCAAGCAATACCAACAGCAGCCCACTCAAAGCAAGCACCGTATCACCATGCATATCCCTAAAGCACTATTTTTCCACCTCTTTCTGGAAGAGGTGCAAGTTGCCCCAGTTAACAAGTAGCAGAAGCTACCAAGTTTTAAGAACTGAGTTGGAACACTGTTCTTAGAACATGCTGGTTATCTACCATAGCCCTGGAGAGCCAAAAAGCCCTGACCAAAGCAAGGATTTCTATGACATCTTTCTCTACCCACCTGTCACTGATACTGATGATTGTGCCCTTTCCTTTGAAGTTTTATCTTAACATAGGTTTCCATAAATATCTTACTTGATCATTCCTTGTCAGGTGGGTGAACTGAGAGAATCCTCCATGTGGGAGCAGAGAAAAGATTTTCCACTGCAGCTTCTCACTTGCAATGAATTTGAATTTGCCAGCATCTTCAGCTCCACGCTCCTGTACTAATCTCACAGTTTCAGTACAAAGGCTGCAACACATTCCCACATTACAGACACCACACAGATGTGCCAAAGCAGTCCTTCACTTTCCAGGCATAAAAGTCCCTCACTTTCCTCTGCATCCTTTACTTCGTACCAGTGGTGAGATCTTTCCCCCCCTAAGACGAGCCCATGTACAAATTTTGACTTTTTTTTTTAAATTTCTGCCAGAGCCAAAATCCAGTCTTTTTTGCCTATACAGGCAAAATTCACCTTAATTCCATTCTGCTAATATGACCTCCTTGCCAGCCTCCTAGACACAGAAGTTTCCAATTTATAATATATTGACATGGGTTTCTTTCAGATATATCTTTTTAAGACAGCACAATTATTGCATCCATTCCATACTGGGTACAGGAAGACTAATACTTTTGGCCAGTAGATTTTAGCTGCTGACAGGAAGCAGGACTAGGAGGTCAAGAGCAATGCACTGTACAGATGAAACCTCTCCAGCTTTGAGCAATTTCTCTGACATAAAGACTACAAGTCTGGAGTTCAGACAAAATCAGCTCTAGCATGCCTCCAAAGAAACTTTTGTTCTTGCATAGTTCCGGCAAGGACCACATTCAGTCTTACTCAAGTTGCAAGTCTTGTCCAGAACAGCCAATCCTAAGGAGTAAGGGGTCCACCTAGTGCAGTTACAGCAGTACTGCCAGAAGTGCAGACAGCAAGGCATGCATGCAAACTTCCCCTGAGTCCAGCAACAGGCTGCTGCTGACACTGGTATGAACACAAAATTTCATTTATGGTTGGATTGGATAATCTTGGAAGTCTTTTCCAACCTTGGTGATTCTATGATTCATCCTTCATATAATCCCTGCAGAGGAGGCAACTTATCTGAAATTTCTTGCACTCCATGCACACAGCACTTGCTCGATTTACTTGAACAGTGGGGAGTGGGCAAGAGGAACCTGCTCAGGTTCTGCAGACAGAGCCTGTACACATTTACTAAGTACAGTAACCCAGGTGGAATACTTACAGAGGCTAGAGAAAGGTTTTCATTTACAAAAACCAACCCTTGCTAGCTGCTGGTTTCCTCTTTTCCCTTCACTACTCCTGCACTTAATTTCCCATTGAAAAGTGCCAAGAGACTCAACCAAGGTCCAATTGTATGAAACAGACCAAGAGCTAGATTACATACTTTCTACTTCAGAAAGCAGTTTTTCATTGCTCTGCTATCCTACCTGAAAAAAAAATAATCTAATGTCTTCTACCTACACATGATTTTAGGTCTTCTACTTTTTGAAGGCATTTTTGGCAGACATTCAAGACCTAGGAGATATCGAGGTACCCTGCAGGAATTTAGGCAAGTCTTTTCATCATATCCTTTGGCTCACTTTTACAAGATGGGACAGCTTTACATCCAGCTCAGTTTGATAGGGACATAAGCACGTCAACTGCAGGGAACAAATCAAAAGCACCAGACCAAAGGAACTGCTGCTCCAAAGCCCACCCATATTCCTCAAGTGACAAAATTGCATAGTTTATGGATGAAGCTGACATTGGCTGGCTATAAACTAAGTACCAGAAATCAGCAGGTGGATATACAGTATATGAATGTGCTGCTGACTAGCTTAGAAAGGAATTCTGTAAGCTTAACAACAAGAAGAATGCCTATGGCATTGAGTCCTCAAAACCTCATGGTTTGCTTTAAGCAGTTCCCCTGAAACCAAAGTCATGCAGTCCTCCCAAACTCATGTAAATGATTCAAGTCTTCAACAATTTGGTTTTGATCAGATAAAACACAAGAGAGGGAACAAAAATAGTTTTTCTCTCTCTCCGTTCACCCAGAAGCACATAAATCCCTGTGATTTAAAAGACATCTAGTGGCAGATAAAAAGATACAGAAAACGAATCAAAATGATGTTATTTTGGAAACCTCTATTTTTCCAATTTTTTGGGAAATTTCAGAAAGGAAAGGAGTTATTTAATTATTTCATAACACCAGACAGGATAAATGGTGAGGCAAGTTATTCCCAGTTAAGTCAAAATGACTTATGGACACTCATGCAATACTCCAGAACTTGTCTGCCTTTGTCACCTAAACTTCCTTTCCTGTTAGGAAGAAAAGACAGTGGATTCACTATGAAACCTTAGAGATTGTATGACATAAAAAGCCAAGACATACCTAAAACAGCACTGGGGATGGAAGGCTCTGTATTTTATTTATATACATACACACACACACTTTTTTTTTTTTTTTTTTTCTAAAATAAAACAAATAGCTATTAATTCTTGCTACCTGAGTCTTTGAGCTTCACTTACAAGTCAAACCTTTCATCCCAAGGACCGAGAGTAAAACTACTACAGACTTCTGGGACTGAGACTAGCCTGAAAAAGCTAAGTGTCTAGAAAAGCCAACAGAACATTGAACAGCCAGCAACACTGGTAGGTATAAATCCAATTCAGATGAAAAAAAATTGGTAAACAGCCCTAGCTGGAATGAACTCAGATTCCACCCACCAGCGATGTATGAGTAATACCAAACAACCTCAAATACGTATATTTTTTTAGTAAGAACTCTCAATAAACACACACATATATACAGCCATCTCTTGTAGAGACAAGTGGTTCCATATTCTGGAGAAGGCAGGCAAGTCTGCGCCACTGAGCAGGTGGTTCACAAAGCACTGAAGATGCTTCTGTTTGCGTGATTATGGCTACTTCATATTTCTGAGAGGAAGGCCAAAAAGTCTTGGAATCAGACTCAGTTCAGACACATACAGTTGGTGTCATCTGTAACTGCTGTGTTACAGGGTTAGAAAGATGAGAAGGATCAACTGGGAAAAGATCAAACAAAACCCTCTGGAGACTGCCAGGAAACATCTGCAGACAGCATTCATCCATAAGAAGTCCAATCAGAATTTGACAGAAAAGGAAGTCCCACAGGAGCATCCCTTCTCTGCCTGAGGATTGCTCACCACCTGGAATGAGCTGCGAATCAGCTCCTGGCTGAAGTCTACCATGGAACCTTTCACAAAGGCCAGGCTGTCCACATCCACAACTACACGGGCACCACCTTGTTCAAACACCCTGCAGAAAAGCAGCATATTTAAACATTAGTTGTGCTACAGATACAACCAAGAAGCACAGCCTGAACACCTTACTCATCTCGCAGTCTTTGTTCTTCCAAGATATTGTACCACACACACACCCATCTTGCCCCCTTTGCACAGAACAGCCCCTCTGCCCTTGCCTGTCATCAGGATTGATAACCGTGTCCAAAGAAAACTTGTACTGGAACCCAGAGCAACCACCTCCTTCCACCTGCAGCCTGAGAAACTCTGATCCTTCTGCAATCTCCAGCAGCCTCTACAAAACAGAAAAGATTAAAAAACCAAACAAACAATGGCTCAAACCATGTTGAACGAACAGGTAAACGCTGCAACACCTCCGCCGTGCACTCGGGGCAGGCCGGACGCTTCGGGAAGCCCTCTCGGGGCCCTACCTTCACGCAGCTCTCGCTGAGGTAGACCTGTCCCTCGCTGGAGTCGCTCTCCGTCGGGCCCGGCTGGGAGGAGGACGATGCCCACCGCAGCGAGCGGCCCAGCGCGCAGACCGGGGCCGGCGGGGGGTCGAACGGCACTCGTCCTCTGCGCGACGGAGCAGAACACCATCTGCTTCATGGAGAAGGAGGGGAAGAAAGGGCGAGCCTCAGCGGGGCCACGCCGAACCCCTGCCCCGCACCCGCCATCCCTTGTGACAGAGAGAGGCGCTGCCGAGTCGGTACCTGACCCGACCGCCCCACGCCAACCACCAACAGCGCCTCAGCGCCGCCATCTTGCCTCTCGCTCCCTCCTCAGCGCCCCGCCCCGCCCCGCCCGCCCATTGGCTGTCCGGCGCCGCCATTTCCGGCGCGATCCGCCATGGCACGTACCGAGGCGGAAGCGATCGGTGGGGAGTGTTGCTAGGCGACGGCGGGTGGGGCGGGTGAGCAGCCTTGCCCGGAGGGGTCTGGCTGTGCCCCCACCTGGGCTGGGGGCTGCTGTGCTCCCCGGCTGCGGGGAGAGCAGTGGCCCACGCATAGGGGAGATGTTGACACGGCTGTTTCAGCCCGGTCCTCGGTTTGGGAATGTGCTTGTATTTGTCCTTGAAAGTGTTTGCTTTCGAAAGCAGCAAAGCTCGTGAAGAAAAATAACTTTGTAAATAATGCAGCGCTTTTCAACAGAGTGTGTTTGCTGTGGACTTAGCTGTGAGGGTTGTTTGCACTGAGTGGTACCCTGAGACCCTGACAGGGATCAAGATGTCATTGCAGGGGGAATTACGCAAACAGAAGAACAAACACAGGGCCTGCTCTGAAGGATTTCTTACGATTTTTCCCGATACTGACTTTTCTGTTTTACTTTTTTTATCAGGGAGGAATCTCTGAGTCTCTAAGCTCAGCGCTCCCTGCAGAGGCCAGTTTTCCTTTGGATCGGGATTCGTGACCCTGGTATTGCAAACACAGACGTGCTCAGCTTTCTGCATGTGCTGCAGTTCCACGCAGCCCCCTCCCGCTCCTCGCGTCTCTGTGAGAACAGGATCCAGCAGGATTGGGCAGATGTGCAGCCTTCGTCCCCACGATGGGTGTGTAAGGCGCAGTTCTCAGGCGCAGTCTCCATGGTTTCGGCACAGAGCCTGCGTTAGCACCAGCGCTTGTCATCTCCCAGGCCCCCTCTGCTCATATCTCCTGCCTCGCATTTCAGCGTGTGTAGGTGTTTAATGGCTCTTCAATTAACTCTACACAGTCAAAGCAGGGAACTCGTGCTTAATGAAAGGTTACGTGCATTTTGTTAAAGATGCTTTTCTTCTTCAAAAACTTGTATCAAGGGCTTTGGGGAGGATGAATCTTCACTCACCTGACTGAGTCCTGAACTTGGCTGCCAGCCTGAAGCTGAGCGGCTCTGCCTCACTTCTCTCTCTTAAACCTGATCATTTGACATGTGACAGTGGTCCGGCCTGTTGCTCAAAGATGTGCCTACAGTTAAAGGGTTGCTTATCATTTCCTCATGTGCTTCAGCTGGAGGAATTCCAGGCTGCAATCCTGTTCCCCCACCCCTGGTCTGGTTTGTGGAGAGTCATACAGTGGCATGACAGAGGAAAACCAGTCATCCCAGTAGGAGGGGATCATTTAAAGTCAGCACAGCTCGGGACTTGGTGACTATTAGCTTTCTCACACATCTCAAACTGAACAAGGCAGTGCCTAGAACAGCTTGACCTTCTTGCAGCACAGTGGAAGCAGAGGAAGTACTTAAATCCAAGATGAGATCTGCTTGACAAAGTTATTGTCCATTAAGCATGAAGTAGGCAGCTCCATACAGAGATTTAACAACTGCAGGAAGCAAAAGTATTTTCTTTGGCATAGGCATAGAAATCAAGCACGTGGTGGAGTGCCTGCAGTAGTAAACATGTAGTTAATATTATGTGTATAAATCCTAAAAGGCTCACTCCCACGATGAATGTGGCTGCCAGGCTGAGGGGGCAGTGCTTTAAAGAAATGCAACCACATGCTTTTGCTTATGTATTCCACTTGCACATGTAAATAAAGACTGGTTTGAGCTGTTTAGTTTCTCACTCTTGAATTAACTCTAATAATATTCACATAAAACCAGGAAGGCATCACAGGTGGGGTCCCAGAGGAGCTGGTGCTCATCCAGTTAGCTGCAAACAGCTGGATCCTCAGAATAGGCGTATTGGAACACTTGATGTTTTTAAACACATACAGGGGGTGTTTTCTGAGTTATTATCAGTGCACCTCTGCATTTGGAGGAATGAATCAAGAGCTCCTGGGAGAAAAAGGGAGAAGGATGGTTCTACTTCTCACACTGCACTGGCTTTTCTCACTCTTGCAGGATTTATTGTTCTGAATGCTGGCATTTCATGGCCTCATGCTGCATCTATATTCACTGCAAAGTCCTTTTGGATATTTAATGTAGCCTGATCCCTTAAAAAAAAAAAAAAAAAAAAAAAACACTTGTACTTTCTACATGCCGTCAGTTTTACCAGTGTTAGATGTCTGAAATGGAATGAGTATTTTCAAGGCATTTCTGATGTTGTTGCGTTACTTTAGATTGAGAAAATGAGAGAGAGTTGGCCTCAGTCAGAGTTAATTTAGTCTGATTAATAGTCCATTGCTCTGATGAGTGATTCATGTGCTGGGGGCAAATGTTCAGAGTAGCCAGGCCACGTAAGGAAGGAGAACAGCTGTTTCTTTGCACCTCTCTATTACTAGTGATTGTTTTTTCTTTCTGCCAGCTATGTAGCCAGAGGGTGTTTTTGTCATCCAGAATTACAGTCTGTGATTTCTCCCTTCCTAGGCTGTGGCTTTGTTGGTCTTGTGGTTCTTGATAACTTGATATAATCTGATTCTACTTTGTTTCCCCCTCCTCATTCTGCACCCTTTATGTTTGGGGAGTTCCTCAAGCTCTCTTTAAGCCCACTGAACTGATGAGGTCTGCCTGCCAGCAGGGTTCTCTAAGTATTCTGCTTGCCTTTACAGCTTCTGTGTTTAAGGCATTTTATCCCTATCTCAGCGGAAAACTGAGCTCATTTGAGTGATTCAGAAACTGATGACAAGAAACCCTGCCACGGCTGTTGAATGTGAGTGTCCCATGGTGCATTCATTGTGAATGCTGGTGATCTGCAGCTAAAGGAGCATGTACTGGCTGGGAGAGCAGGAGAAATTGATTAGTCCCTGCATGTGGATTTTCTCTAGAATACCATTTCTGTATTCACTGCCAGTGCAGTGCCTGAAGGTCTGTGTGTTTACCAAGCTGCAAGTGCAGCGCTGCTACAGGAATTTACATTCATTGGGTGTAGCTGCTCATCAAGCGGAACTTCAGATAATTGAATTGGTGAGATATGTAAGTGCAGAACGCAAGTACCAGTCTCGCAGGGATGAACGTATCTGCTCACTTTCTCAGTGAGACGGTGGCTCCAGGATGACCCGGAGGCCCAGGGATTGTACCAGCCATCACAAGGGACACGTCTCTGACAGCAAGGTCTGCTAGCGGCTGTCTGCTTCTGCTGAACGCTGCCTCGGGGAATCTGAGCATCAGCGCCGTCGCCGCGAAACCGGCTGCCAGCACACCTGCAGCCCCCGGCCCGGCCCCGCGGGCGGAGCAGCGCTCAGCTGACCGCCGGCACGGGGCGGGACGGGGCGGCCCTGCCGCTCTCATGTGACTTCGCCGCCGCCACCACTGCCTCCGCAGCGCAGAGCAGCGCAGTGCCGCCATGGTGCCGCCGTCTTTCGTGCTGCTGCTGGCGCTCGCTGCCGCCGCCCTGGCCGAGCCGCTCCGCTTCGTGGACTGCGGTGAGTGTCCCACCAGGTGCGGGGGCCCGGTTCCTCGGCCGAGCGGCAGTTGCCCTCCGGGGTCCTGGCGCCGCTAAGCCCTCGCTCGTCCTTCTAGGTTCCAAAGACGGAAGCATTCAGGAGGTGAACGTGAGCCCCTGTCCCACGCAGCCTTGCCAGCTCGTCAAAGGGACCTCGTACAGCATCAACGTCACTTTCTCCAGCAGTAAGCATCGGCTCCGTGGGGCCTGGGGTGCTGGTGGGGTCCTGTGAGGAGGGATGAGGTGGGCAGAGGGGGTGACGGTGTTAAGTCTGTGCCGTTGTGTCTGGGAATAACTGGGTGGGTGGAGGGTGCCACGGAGTGGGAGGAAGTAGCCGAGGAGGAGAACTGCTTAGTGTGCTCTCGGCAGCCTTCAGGCAGACTGACCTCCAGGTACAGAATCATAGAATCACAGAATGGCCCGGGTTGAAAAGAACCACAATGATCTAGTTTCAATATGTCCAGGGGAGGCCAGAAAGTGGAAGTGTTTCAAAGCTTTGGTGTTCCACTCACTCTTCCCATGTCCTGCAGAGATCGAGAGTCAAGGCAGTAAGGCAAAGGTGTATGGTGAGATGCTGCATGTGGACATACCCTTCCCCATCCCCGAGCCTGATGGATGCAAGTCTGGGATCCAGTGCCCCATCCAGAAGGGCCACTCATACAGCTACCTGAACAAGCTCCCTGTGAAGAGCGAGTATCCCAGTGTAAGTAAACAGGAACCCCACCTGCACTTTGCGGCTGCCCTCCTTCCTGGGGGCAAACCCGCAGCCCATCTGTAAAGAAGAATGCTTCATCTCGCAGTATGGGGAAGAAGTCAGAAGGATCTTCAGCTGCTTCTCACTTCTGCTGTGAGTGGGATTCTGTCCACAGTTCCTATTTTGGAACAAACCCGTCAGAGGAAGCAGCCTGACTGCAGCTGCTGAGAAACTGCTTCAGCTATGCCCCTGTGTGTTCCTCGTGTGCTGTGCCCGCATGCAGCCCCCCCAGAGCCAAGGCTCTGCTCTTGGCCAAGCACTCAGATTTGGGGCGGTTGGCTTCAGGTGCCATTCAGCTGGGACGTGCTGGTTGTTTCCTCTGCACTCTCAGATGGGGGTTCTCAGTGTAGCATGTGGAAGTCTCCATATTACACAACAGTGCCCTCCAGACACACAATACCGCAGGAGTCACTGCAGGTGCCCCAGCTCCTTCTTCCCACAGGGCCACCAGGACCCCTCTGCTTGACGAACGACTGAAGCTGCCTGTTGTCTTTGCTTTGGTCTCTCCTAACTATTCTTACTTAACTGTTCTCTTTCAGATTAAGCTGATAGTGAAGTGGGAGCTGGTGGATGACCAGGATCAGATGTTGTTTTGCTGGAAGATACCAGTGCAGATCACCAGCTGAGGAGCTCTGCCATGAGTTGGGCTTGGGGAGGAGAGAAACAGAGAAAATAACACAAGCCAAAATCTTTTTTATAAGTATTTCTTACTGCTTCCTTCAGAACTCTGCAGCCTCTGGGCAGCCAGTACTTTGTTCCTGCAAGGCCAGCTGTGGGCAGAGGG